GAATGACAGAAAACTAAAATAAACCCTATGGTACTTACTTTGAATTGGGGGTTTTAGCATGAACTCATGGTTTGTACATATAGAATAAATACAGTTGGTGAGATATGTGAATATTTATACACAGATAGACAAACAGTACATGCAAACATGAATAGGTTACCCATCTCTGCCCACTGCAATATGGAAGCATCAATACTCTGATTATGATTTCTTCATATAATTTTTCATAAAAGAAACCAGAGCTCCATGGAGAAATAACTGATTCTAGGGGACAGAACTTATTCCAGTAAGCATAGGTCCAAGATGAGCCTAGAATGCTTCTTCTCCTTCTCCTCCTTTCTTTTTTTGGTCATGTGAGCAAATGAGGAAGCAAAGAGTGGTGGGAATAGGTCAAAATTATGCAGACTGGTGGTGCTTAAAGGAGCATTCACTGGGTGAATATGATAAATGTGACCATCATAATGAATTATGATAATAAGCTAGCTACTGATGAGCCCATAGTAATATAAATAAGTAAGTAGAGAAGAAAACTTTTTTTTTTTGCAATGGAGTGTCAACTGATGATTGTAGAAGGATGAGGGAAATATAAAAAGTATAATTTGACATCATAGTAATTAACTTGGCCAATGTCCAGATTCATTTGAAGACATAATGCTTGATCCCTTTGTGATGCTTCTTGGTGCTCCTAAGGCCACCGTGGTATATTCCACAGAGACATAAGGGTCAATCACAGAAATCTCTGAACCACACTCTCTCCCAACCATTTCCTCAGTCTCTGGGAAGACTCATCTTTTCCCTCAGTTTTAAGCCATTTTTCAACCTTTTCCACTTCTTAAGAAGAATTCAGGTAAGAGTGTTTTCTACACATCTGAGATCTTCCACTTTCAGCCCTGAAGCATGAAAATCATTGAGAACCACTATAGGCAAAGGAACCCAAATTGCTGATGTAATGTAAAGATTGATCTGYCTTCTTGGAATGCTGGAAAGAAAAATGCCTTTCATTCTTTTAAGTTTTCCATACCTTTGAGTATAAAAATCATACTTCTAAAACTGATACTTCACCATGTTGTTCATCTTCTATTATGCAGGCCGATAAAGTTTTAAAACGTTTTATAGGGCTGGGATTGTGGCTCAGCAGTAGAGCACTCATCTCGCACATTCGAGGTCCTGGGTTCAATCCTCAGCACCACATAAAAATAAATAAATAAAATAAAGGTATTGTGTTCAACTACAACTAAAAAATATTTTAAAAAATTATAGTTGGTAAAGGGTCAGGTAGTAAATATCTTAGCCTTTGCAGGCTATATGATTCACCTATACTATAGCATGAAGGAGGCACAGACAGTACATAAACAATGAATGTGGCTGTGTGCCAATGAAACTTTATTTATGGACACTGAAATAAAAATGTAGGACTGTGAATGTAGCTCAGTCATCTAGCACTTGCCTAGCATGCATGAGGCTTTGGGATCAATCCTCAGTAACCACCCCCACACACACACACACACATACACAAAGAATATAATAGAAAGCTTATAAGTATAATAGAAAGTATTTTTTATTTTGAATTTTCTGTATTTAAAAAAATGAAATCATGATCTGGGGTTGTAGCTTAGTGGTAGAGCGCTTGTCTTGCATGCATGAGGCCCTGGGTTCTATCCTCAGCACCATATAAAAATAAATAAATAAAAATAAAGATATTGTGTCTGTATACAACTAAAAAAATAATTTAAAAACATGTAAAAATCATTCTTAGCTTGTGGGTTGTATAAAAATAAGCAGTACAGATCTGGCCTTTGGGTTATAGTTGGCCATTTTCTACTGGAAGACAATCAGATGAGAACTTTTACATGGATGTTTCCAGAGTTCAGAATTATTTTCTTCCATAAGTAGCATATTTTTTGTTCATTTATCATAGTCCTTACCACTTTCTGTCAAAAATAATCATTTTGTTGTACACTCAATCCAGGTGATTGTGCTCTTTAAAAAAAGAAAGAAATGTGCCATGTGCTTTCTTTAAGCACCCACAGAGCCTAGGTCTTCAAACTGTTTTGATTGAAAGAAACTGAATAGTGGGCAGAACAGATTGAATAGATGAAACTGTTCTGCAGTATCATTTGTACAAAACTGGCTTTGTTTAGGTCAAGGACTTTGAGTTTTGTTATAGTCAGTTTGTAATTATTTATGTGTACTCTCATTTTCTTCTCCCTAATTACCTTTGTTAACTCATTTAAACTGCTTCCTGGGGCAATTCTTTTAGGAGCCAGAATATGAATCTCAGCAGGAAAACCAAGATTTTGGAAAGGTTTTTTTTTCCATTTATGATTTTACTTATCTTTAAGATTGTTAGAAAAACTGGAAATATGGTCTTAGTATGAATTTTTAAAAACTTTTTTAAAAAACTTTGAGCAATATTTTTCTTTCTATATGTTCATTTGGTTTGTAGGAAAGTATGGCTTTTAGAGAGTTAATATGCTCCTTCTTTTGTCTTAGTAATATCTTATGCTATCTTGTTTTGCATTTCATTAACTGGACAATAATTCTATGAAGTAAGTAGACAGAATAGAATCAAGATTCTTTAAGATATAAGAATTTTTTTAAAATTCAAAGGCAATTTAATGCCCCCCCCCCAAAAAAAAACAACATTGTTTTAGCTCAGTTAACTGAGAAATAGAGGGAAGGATTTTTCTTCCAACTTTTGCTGAATTAGCTCTATTTTGAAAATGATTAAGAGGAAGACTATGAACTGTTAGCCCAACCAGGACTTGATGGAAGAAGAGAGGTACCCAGAAGGAGACGCTGAGCAGATGATAAATGTTCTTTGAATTGGGTTTAGTGGCCATCTATATATGAAAAAAGGAGGCATGAATAAATGAAATGACTTTTCCAAGTTTACACTCTTGGTTGGTGGAAAAGGTGAAACAGAAACCCCTGCCTCCTCACTTTATATATGCCTCTACTCTKGTCTGTATAATCAAGTTATTTCCTTGATCTGTGTATCTTCATATCACCATTTCAATATAAAAGCTAGACCCTGAGCTGGGGTTTTTTGGCTCAGTGGTAAAAGCACTTGCATAGCAAGCATGAGGCCCCGGGTTCAAACCTCAGCACCATAAGTAAGTAAATAAATAAATAAGACAAAGGTTAAATAAAAAAAAAAAAGTAGAGTCTACAAGTTTAAACACTGTAATGTCATTCCTTTAAATCTCTTTGTTTTCTGCATGTATATCAATAACTTCACATTGAAGAAACTATAGTTATGCCTGTCTTATTTCCTTCAGTATGTGTCAATAACTCTGCTCTTGTAAAATAATCTAATGGTTTTCTGTAGCTTTGGTTTTATTTTTTTTTAAATAGGATTTCTTTTTTTTAATTTATTATTTTTTTAGTTGAAGTTGGACACAATACCTTTATTTTAATGTGTTGGTGAGGATTGAACTCAGGGCCTTGCACATTCTAGGCGAGCGCTCTACCAGTGAGCCACAACCACAGCCCCTTATTTTGGTTTTGCTTCCACACATTTTAGGCATTTTATACCATCACTTTAAGGTATTTTTAGAAGGTGGTCTTTAGAAAGAACACAAAATACGAATAAACATACACTGATAGGTAATTATGCTTAACATTCCTTAATTTTTGTGATGGGCATAAACATAATAAAAGGTTTTATTAAAAAGTGACTTATTTTTCTAAGGTAAATAGTTGATAGGGCAGAAAAAGGACTTGAGTAAGGGCCTTCCCAGGTGGATTCTAGTCTGGCTTTATCAATTAGAAGTTGTGAGACTGCCATCAAAAGGATTGAACTCTTAACCTTAGTCGTACTCTCACTTGCAAAAAGAGGGGTGATATTATCTCTTATTTAAAGCAGCATGTAGGCTGTAAGTTACAAAACAGCATATATATATGTACTCCAACATTTTTCCAAAATCTGGCTTTTCCTATGACATAAAAAAGTATAGAAACATGTGAAAACTGTTAGCTTTAATAGGGATTTCCTCTTGTAAGAATTGAGTTAATTTTCCAAAAACTTCAACTCAGAATGTTTTATATATGGGAACCACAGACACAAACAATCCGCAAGCAAAAATGGTTTCTTCTATTCTTCTGTTACCTAGTACTTGTTTTTATATTCTATGTTGTGACTGGCTCCTTGTATCTCTGATGCGCAGTCAGAAATTTTCTTTTTGAAGAAAGGAAGTTACACTAAGAAAAGCATTTTAACTTTTGCTCATTACAAATGTTCCCCTAAGAGGTGATAGCTTTAGACCTTTCCCAGACTCAAGAAGATTCTTTCCACTGTGAGCCAAGCCAGGGATGCCACCGGAGGACCGCAGCGCCACCTCCTGGGGGCCCGGGCAGAGCTAACCAGGAGCAGCGGCTGAGGCTAGATTACTTGTAAGAGGTCTTCACCGCTCAGATGACTCAAACACACTTCAGACAGTTTCCGTGCACGAACCTACCCCAGAAAGTTCACCAGTCTTAGCCGTACCTCCCAAACCCCAASATCGCTCAGACTACGCGGACACCTATTTCGAGAAAGGCAAGGGACGCAATAGAGGCGGGACTTCCTTTGGTGGGTGGAACTTTGCCCTGTGGGCGGGGCTTTACGCGGCTAGCGACAGCTGGCTGGGTAGAACACAGTCTGCCCTGCGGGCGGGATTACGCCAGGTGGGTGGGAACCTGCTAGCAGGTGTAGAATTAAGCTTGGCGGGCGGGGCTTCATCCGCTCCATGGGCGGGACTCCTGACRGTGGGCGGGGCATCGCTCTGTATACCGACCTGCTGAGAAGGGTAGAACTCCACCCTGTGGGTGGAGCACGCGTTCGAGGGGCGGGGCTTCGCTCTGCAAGGCTGTGGGCGGGAACTACGCTAAGTGGACGGGGCCTCTTGTGTGAAGGCTAAGGTTGGACGGGATCTCGCCCTGTGGGCGGGACTTCTGAGTGCCAACCCCGCAGGGTGGTTGACTCCGTCCCCAGGGCGGGGCTTAGCTAGGTGGGCGGAGCTACGACTTGGGAGAGGAACCTTGCGTGGGTCCTCCCACCGGAACTTCCTGAACCGTGTGCCTGCAGATGGCGTCACCTGGAGCTTGAGCAGCTGCACGTTGGTATCGAAGATCTGGTGAGAGGTAAATGAAATTTTTTTGACTGGCTAGTTTTGAATTCGCTGGGTTTGAGGGAGGCCTGAGCCGGCATCGTGCCGCTGTGGCCCGGAGGGCTCGGTTTCATCGTGCGTACCTCTGGCAACCCTAGTGGATAACATGCCTACAAACCGAGGCCCGAAATCCTGGTGCCACCCCTTAGCAGGTTCCCAGTGCGGCACTGTTATGATCTCGATTTCCATGTGGTTGTCAGAGAATTTTCTTCCTTATATACTGGGGATTGAACCCAGGGACGCTCCCCCCCCCCCTTTTTTTTTTCAAATTTTGAGACAGGGCCTCGCTAAATTGCTGAGGCCGATCTCGAACCTGCGATCCCCTTGCCTCAGCCTCTGGCGTCGCTGGGATTACAGATGTGCGCCATCACGCCTGGCTAGAGAATTTTTCTTAAAATTAGGAGGGTTCCCCTACAAGGATATATAATTTTATGTTGGTTTGTTTTACGGTATGGGGGTTTGAACTCAAGAGGTTTTACCACTGACTTACGTATATCCACATGTCATTTATTTTGAGACGAAGTGGTTGAGGCTGGCCTTGAACTTGCCAACGTGGGCCTTAAATTTGCAAATCTGCCTCAACTTCTGGAGTCGCTGGGATTACAGGCAAGGCCCTGAATTGCATTTCTGCGCCATCGTGCCCAGCTATATATATTATTTGTAATATATAATACTATAATTATGTGGCTGTGTGTGTTCCATAAACATGTCAGTTCTGTTCTGTACCCGACAAAGCAGTTGATTAATAAATGAACACTAGGTGCATGGATGGGTTTTAGTCACTATTGTAAATTTTAGATTACTGTATTTGAATGGTTTTAATATGTATTTTCTGCTTCTTGTGTAATAATCATGTCTTCTCTACTGTATTCACTTCTTTTAAGAACATGTACCATTGGAATTCAATAGCAGTGCTGTCTCTCTGAAGTTTTCTAAGGCTACATTAATGGAGGATATGAATTTCAGTCAAGAGATAAAATATGAGCAAAAAAGAGACAGGAAAAATATCAGAGTTGCCTTTAGCGATATTAGGCCAGGATGGTTAGTGCAGTATATGTAAATATAGGAGTTAATATTTGGTAGATTTAGATGCCAGGCCAAGGCATATTTCTCTTTCTATATTAGGAGACAGTGAAGGTTTTTAAAATTGGGAAGGTTCATCACATGGCAATGACGTACAAGGTAGACTACTGTGAACTGGCTTAAGCAAGAGGTTGGCAAACTTTTGGTAAGGAGTCAGATACTAGCTATTTTAGGCTTTGTGGGCCATAGTTGTAATGGGAAAGCAACTATAGACAGCACACCATGAATGGATGAAGTTTTGTTTAAATAAATACTTTCAAAGATAGGTGCTTGATCTGATTTAGTCCATAGGCACAGTTTGCCAATCTATGGTCTAAAAAAATGATTCTAGCAACTGCGGCTGTAGGCAATACTACACCATGTTTTTGAACTGATTTTTATTTATATCTGAAAAGCAATATCACCCAACATTTGCACTGATCTAGTCTACGTGGCTTTAAATTCTGGTATTTACACTGGCACTAACAGTGTAATTTTGGGGCACTTCTACTTCTCTTTCCATCAGTTTTTTATCTGTGAAATGGGGATAACAGTACTTCTCACAAAGAGTTGTTTTGAGGAGTCAATGAGTTATATAGCACATAAAATRTTAACATAGTGCTTGCACATATACCAAAAGCTCAGTATTAACCATTATTTTAAAAAATGTTCCTCACATGCATTATTAAATCAGATCTGAGAGCTGTTTCTAAAGTTCAAGGCTAAATGCATTTAGCTACAGAGCAAAGACACTAAGTTTTTAGGGCAAGAACCTAATTTTGATGGGATGATCAGGAGAGAATGAGAGTAAAAAGGAGAAAGAAATCAAGGATACAAAGCAGTATAATAGGAACCAAAATAGTATTGTTAGTATGTCCACAAGCAGAGGGGTAGTTGATAATGGTTAACATTGTCAGATGCTGTAGAGAAAAAGTCATGTTGATAGTATGAATTCAACTACCATACATTAATTGAGTACATCCTATGGTCAGATACTGGGGATATATTAAAGGATTGGTAAGTATGCTGTATCAATAGAGCAAAAGAATCTAGTCAGAGGGAAAGACCTAGAAATACTTTAATATATAAGAAGTTTTTTAAATAATCAGGAATAAGATAGAATTCTTAAATTGATACCTTTATTTTAAAACTAAGATTTAAATGAACTTAGTTCATAACAGTAGGCAGCTTAATTGAACTCCTCCTTTTCTTTCTTCCTAGAAGATGGGCAAGAACAAATTAAGAGGGCAGAAGCCCCGGAATGTATTTCACATAGCCAGCCAAAAAAACTTTAAGGCTAAAAACAAAGCAAAACCAGTTACTACTAGTCTTAAGAAGGTGAGTATTTGTTATGTAAGCTGACTTTATTGTTTGCAAGGAAACCACAGTGGTAAAGCTCCTGAACAGCTGAATTCTATTGAAATCAGAAGTTCTTTTGTTTAAAAAAACAAAAAATGGAACAAAAATGTTTTTTTTCAAATTCAAGTGTAAAAAGGCATTTTAAGTGTAAGTGTGAGGTATAATATAATAGTTTGATAACTTTATTAGAGCACAGGAATCATTTTTTAAAATAAAAACTACTATATGGAAAACAGTTCTTATTTCTGAACCCTCTATTCAAGAACCTACTAATAGAGCTCACATATGCAATGTCAGCCGGTACCCTTTATTTTTCTCAGGAATTTTATCTTGGGACTCAAATGATGAAAAATTATTTTGTTTCTTGAAGTGCAAAATTTGAAAAGGAGTTTTACCTTTATATTTTAAAATATTTGAGTAATTTCTTCAAGTAGATATCTTTAACATTCTTTTAAGAAAATGTTTCCAAATTCAAATAGTAGGTAGAGCCAGTTATCCAGGAGTCAGTGACTCACAGTAGTCATAGAAAAGAGATATTTTCTTTTAACTCATAAGAGTTAAGCTTTTAATCCAGCAGTTTGGCTTTGTAAATGCTGTAAAGGAAATAAATCTGAGTGATACCATGGGTTTGAAGTTGAGTTTTACATCTGATCATCTTCATAGTTGACAATGAAGCCAAGACAAATAGGCTTTGCTAGGGAAGGTTGTAAGATTGCCAGACATTATATGAGTGGTAAACTGAAGTTTGTGGTGATGAATTTAAAGTAAAGTCAGTCAGTTGGTTGTGACTTTTTTCTAGCTTCTGTTCTGGGCTTAACCAGGTTGCCAAGCAAGTTTGATCAAGGGAAAGATGAGAGGGGAAGTTGAGTGTAAAGAAGTTAAGTGATTAGATGGTGGTCATGAAAACTGTGCTGGTTGAGGAGAAAACTAGGATAGAAGAGCTGAAAATCATGAAATTGTTGGGAGGTTTAAGAATTGTTAATAAACTAAATGAGCTATAAGGAGGGGAAGTAGTTGCAGAAGATATATCATAAGAGTAGCTGAGGTAGATAGTGGAAAAGGTCCCTGGAGGTGAGACATTCAGAGGCCATATGATTAGATTTTTGATGTCACTAGGCATGAGAGGGGTAAGTGAGCCAAGGTTTGAAATATTTCATGAAGGATCAATAATTGTGGTGTTGGTAGGTGACAGCAATGAGTATGGGGTACCAGAATGTTCTCATGCTTATGGTGCAAAGGAGCTGAAGGTTTTAAGGAAATTGTTTTGATAGTATCACTGAATGTCAGAACACTACGCCCACCTCTTTGGAAGAGGGCTTCTGGGAGCTTCCATTAAGATAAGATGGACAAGGATTCAGAGTCTACTGAAAAAGGGGGACTAAAAGCATTTAAATCAGATTTGTTTTATAGATGAAAGAACGATAGCATGTTAGCCTGGAAAAGACTGGTCATCACATATTGTGGCCTGCTTATGCTAATGAAGTCTAGATAATGAGACATATCCATCATTTTTAAAAATCCAAAACCTCTTAGCTAAAATTTCCAGGTAAGACTATAACAGATTTAGTGTGAATTTGTCCCACAATTTGGTAGCGTCAGTAACACTTTTTAGGTTTAACAAGAGTAAAGATGAATACATTTTATCTAATTATTATGAGATTGTGGATTACTCTTTTTTTTAATAGATAAACATTGTGAATAATGAAAAAGTTAACCGAGTGAATAAAGCTTTTGTGAACATACAGAAGGAACTTGCACACTTCTCAAGAGGCCTTTCTCTGGAACCTCTCCAGAAAGAACTGGCAAGTAGAAATCATTAAAAATTAAAACTTCTCATTTTCAAAGCCTATAAATTGAATGAAATTTTTAGTAGTTGGCTTTATAGTATGTATGGCATATGCATTCATATTCAGATTCTGAAACATTTAGACTGAATATATGAATTTATTGTTCTACTTCCAAAAGGTGTGGACTAGAAGAAATTAAAATGGATGGGCATAGTGGTGCACACCTGTAATCCCAGCTACTTGGGAGGCTGAGGCATGAGGATCAAAGTTCAAAGCTATCCTTGGAAATTTTTCAAAAAAATAAGTGATTGGGGACGTAGTTTATTTAGTGGCAGTGTAGTTTAGTCCTCAGTTTAAAAAAAAAAAGAAAATTAAGAAAGAGAAAATTAAACTGGATAATAGATTATACACAAATTATTTTTGTTATCTAAATTTTTAACTATATAATACTTTTCTCCCTTCAGAGTCCTCGGCATCATGAAAATGAACCAGTTAATGTTGATGAAGCTACAAGATTAATGGCTCAGTTGTAATGTAATGGTGATATACCAAATTCCTCTTCAAAAGACCAATAAATTAAATGTTTTATACAACTTTATTTTTAAAAATCTTGTTAATGTACAAGCATTGGCACATTTTAAAAACAAACTACATAAACAGATCTTTCCTATACTCTAGGAAAGTGGAATGTCAGAAGTCAACAAAATGTGATAAACTTAAAGTGCTAAAACAGAAGGCACTTCACAAAATCTGTTCACTGAAACAGTTACATATCCTCATTTACATCCTTCATTTTATAAGTGGCAGTGAATGTCTGTTTGGATTGAAGGATATTCAGAAATCGTTTCATGGCAGTAAAAATACTAAACAAACAGTGATTAGCCCTTGGCCAACATTTTTTGTTTTGATGTCTTGAAGTCTACTTTTATCTTCCTCTCATAAGAGGAGAAAACAGAAGGATTCAAAATTGAAGGAAAACTGAAATCCAAAAATGTAACTAATTGTTTGTAGGGGAGGCTGGTAGATATTAAATCATTTTTCCCCTATCGCATCAGAGCCCTTTGTTTTTATGGTTGAAGTTTTGTGAAGTAAAAAAGTATTAGAGAAGAACACTTCAGAATCAGTGAACTAAAAGGTGTTACATTCATTATTTTAAATACTTAGGTTATTAAGAAGTCTAAAATGTTACACAGTTAGAGGTAGATAACAGTCCCAAGTTTCCATAGAATCTAATAATTTAGTATCTGGACGTCAAACAGATCGCAAACTCCTTCATTATCATCTAAATTAAAGTTGTAGTCATCTGCCGGTGTAGGAGAAAGCCGTAAGAGAGGAAACACTGCAAACAAGAATGGATTTAATGTTAAGGATGCATAATGATGTTTAACGTAAAACAGTATCAAATATATCAATTCAAATGATCTCCTAGGTTACACATGATTTTTTAAAAATTACGTATAAAATAATGATCATTAATGTCCAATTTTAACAAACTTTGAAAGATTCTCATAAAGGCAATTTATACATTGGTTAAATAAGGTTAAAATTTTTATTGGTTGAACTTATCATTTAAACACATAATCTAAAAATTCTGTGAAGTATATTGTTGATGTATGCACTAGATTTAAAATTTGCTGATGTTCTCTAAATGTTTAGTAAATCTCTTAAGTCATTACTGTACTACTTGCTAACTTAACTGCAACCACTTCTAAGGTCTCTGCTAACTTTGTTAGGAACCAGGACTCTGAATCCAAGAACTAAATAGAAAAGTGGAAGCCCAGAGAGAAATTATTAATTAGTATATTTTAGTTAATTGATTTAAGAATTATTTCATATTAGGTGATGCGATGGCTAATATTAGTAATAGTTTGGTAATTCACATTGGTGGCTTGGTGTGGGTTTTACTTATTGATTTCAACATACTATTTTACTCTTCTTGGGCCAGATTCTTCAGGGGTGCAAAGTGCTAGTTAGGAGTTTATTTAGTAAAAGTAGTAAATCTCCCTTTATGGACTCCTTCCCCTTGAGATGCAAGCAAAGAGAAATAAATTCTGAATAATAGCTCTGATTTACTATAAAGTACTTTATTAAGGGAGAATCTTCATGCATCATAGGAAAGCAATTAGAAAACAAAGGTTCTTCGTTTCTCTTAAATCACATGGCACTTAAAAATAGTAGGAAAGTATTATTGATTTAAATAAAGTAGTATAATTTTAAACTGCTTACCATCAGAAGACATTAACTCATCAATGATATCTCCACTGAGAGATCCTGCTGGAAAAAGAAATGTGACAAATTTTATTATGTCTRTTTATGAACTTTAGAAAAAGGCTATTATATTTAAACACACAGTCACAATACCAGGTTCACTGACAAAGAAAATTTACTAGAATTTTGTGAAAAGATCATTTTSATGAGTACCTACTTTGTGCCTGGCATTACTTTTAAACTTACAAACTCAAGATGCAGACCAAAAGACTAAAATAAATTCAGTTTTATAAAGTCTGGTGTTATAATTCTCCGAGACACACAACCTTAAAACTTCAACATCATTTTCCATTATTCCTATTCACTTTATCTACAGATCTCGCACATGAGATGTTAAGTATTTTGCCTAAATTGTATTGCTCAAAATCTGTTCATGATTTCTCTCTCCAATCCCAGTAGCATCACATTATTTTGACCTTACTGTTCCAGCACAGTTGCATAATCACAAATAATTTTCAATCTCCATAGCCTCTTGTCTCTTCTGCTTCCTCAAAGCATCTTCTTAGTTCATTACTCCTGTGCTCACCACTGTGTAGCTCTAATTGTACCATTTTCCTTTGTTACAGATCTTAACTAGTTCATTGGCTAAAGTCTTAACTCATTACTCTGATGTTCAAGGCTTTCTTTAATCTGTCCCCAAATTATTTTCCTCACTATTTCCAAATGTAAGTGCATATATAAGAACCAAATACTGAAAAAATTTAATACTCTGGAAACGTTAAATTGGTACATACAATTTGGTGCATATAATTATGCCTAAGGCATATAAAGATTGCCTGCTTAATTCATGCTAATTAGACTAAAAACTTCTAAGAACTACACCTTCAATTGTGCATTTCTATTATTTCTGGTTCAGAAACACAGAGGAAGGAAGGAGAGAATATGGACAACAAGAACAAAAAAGTAATCCTATGTCTAGTTACGTCTTCTCAACTTCACTTTTTTAACTGTTCTGAACTCCCATAGTAGCAGCAACAAGACATCCCATAGGTAAACAACAATTTGCGTTATGTATAGTAGTTTCTAACATGACAGCTATAGTAGCACAACTAATTCATTCATTTAAAAAAATCATTGCTACTCCATATCACACTCCCTTTATTTGGAATCAGTAAGAAGTTGTTATAGACCCAGCCCTGGAACCAAGGGAAAACACTGGGTTCCAAGGCATTTTTTTTTTTTTTAAATAAATTTAAGAATTGTCACTCCTATCTCCCGATACCCAATGTTTAGTGTTTTAGTTATATATCATCTCATAGTTGAAACAATTTAGAAAGGCATCACATARGAAAAAAGAGTTCCTATGTAATTGGTGTTGACACCATTTATCATCTCTAAGCTTCCCTTAAAAAAAAACTACAAAAAAGAACATGGAGAAATGGGAGGTCACTATGTTCTCAATTTTTCTTAAGTAGTTAAAGCACATTTTTACTAATTTATACTAGACTTACTGAGATAATGACCTTACCAAGTAAACTTAAAAGGAACGAATTTGACTTAATTAATCCTAAAAATGGAATTCTAAAGGAAACAGCAAACCCTGATGCCCATAAATATCATGCTAAGTATCAACAGTTCTTTACACAATCATAAACACATTATATCTTATTAGATATTTCTGAATTGTGTATATATTGATATATATGTACACGCATATATAAAACAAGTCTTTGGCAATATAATTAAAGAGTGTTTTAAACTTTTTCTCATAAGCACATAAGAGATACTAAATTAATACATGTTGATTAAATTAAACTCATGCTGTTGCCTCCCATATTAGAGGACAAGAATAATATCACAAATAATAAATCTCCAACTTACATAATAATCATATTTTCCCCTCTACTTTTAAAAAATTTTCCCTTCTACTTTCCCCTGAACCCACCTGAAGATATTTCTGTAGCTGGTATCTGCTGAAGATTCTGGCTTCTTTCGGAGACAAGTTGCTCAGGCAGATTCTGAGCTGCTATGTTTGGTTTTTGTGGAGTCACTGGAGTTGAGGACTGAGAGGAAGGCTGTGTGAGGTCATCAGGTGGGGGAACAGGAAAAACCACAGGCTTAGATGAACTGGACTCTTTATTTAYAAGCAGCACGTGGATAGGTCCTGAATGACTCTTTAAATTGATCTGGTATTTCTTTTGTCCATTCTGACCCTTTGAAATTATTTGGTATAAACAAAGTAATAAATATTAATATTTTAGCTATCCTGAAACATTAAAAATTAAGCAAAGGCATTAAGTACTAATTGAAATCATACAACAACATAAACTCATAAAGCTGAAATGTAAAGATGAGTAGAATGGGATATTGATGGCTCTAAACAACTGGCCACTAAAAAGTAAGTAAGCTTTTCTCTAATACTGATCATCAGAAACTCTCAGCTATAGAATTCTGACAGCCATACACTTTCCACTGTGTGTAATCCTATCTGTCCATGCTTAGCAGTCCCTCAAGCATTCTCTACAAGCACAAGTTCTATACCCTGGAGTTACCCACCATGAACAAAGTCAATGACTTTTTTTTTTTTTTTAACAGAGATATAAATCCCTCCATTTCAAAAGTAATTTATATCCTGAAACTATAAAATGCTGTAACATAAATGCCTAAATACAATCATTACTCATTCCTTAATGAACTCTAAATCAAATAAAGTCAAACATTTTTTTAAACTTGTAATCAACATTAAATGGTTTATTCAGTTACTTCTATAATTCTACCACTGACAACATCCAAATTCAGATAAATATTTTCAAATATAAAACTTGAAAACAGTAACTCAAATGTTAACTATTAGTTCCGTATTTAACTCAAGAGAATGTATTTCTCTTGAGATAAGAGATCCACTTTTCCCATTTACTTAAAAGCTATACTACTTACCATTTCTGGAATAGGTACCTCCAGCTGTGTACCAGAAGGTGCTTGAATGGCCAAAAGTGTATCACCTGGTCAAAAAAGAAAAAAATTAGAAATTAATGTTGATCAGGATATAAGGGCCAGACTTTGAGCTATTAAGATTTTTATCTTCTGGATGCTGTATTTTACTATTCATAAATCCATATATTTTATCTGTATTATTTATTTGGTCACTTTAATTCATTTTTCTATTTGRTGAAGGACAAGTGTCAAGGAATTCTGGTTTTGTTATTGTTTAATATGAAGTCCAATTATTTCAGCACTATTTGTTGGAAAGACTGTCCTTTACTCATTGCATTACTTTGCTCAAAATCATGTATGTGTGGGTTGTTTTTGAAATTCTGAATTCTGTGCCATTTTTTCCTACATGTCCATTTTTATGCCAAAAACACACTGTCTTCAATTTTTAAATCAGGTAATGAGTCCTTCAGTTCTATTCTTTTTTCACTTATGTTGGTTATTCTAAGTCTTTGTATTTCCATATAAATGTCATAATTTGCTAGCAATTTCTCCAAAAAAAAAAAAAAAAGAAAAGAAAAAAGAAAGAAAGAAAGAAAATAAAGGAGGAGGAGAAAGAGAAAACCCACTTCAGATATTTGGACTGGGAGAAAAAAGAAAAAAAAGACTATATAGGCCAGAACGGAGGCTCAAGATTAAGAAGTTTGGGTTTAAATCCCAGGCTAGATAACCTTGGATCCTATAAAACAGGGGACATATAACTTACTGCATAGGTTTATTTTGAGTATTAAATGAGGTAATACATGTATTCATGGGTCATAGGAGAGTAAATTGTGTTAGCTCTATTACTTTCAACAAATTCAACTCAATATAAAGTCTGATTCTTCAAATCTTTTGGTCTCAA